GGGAATGAGGGACAAAATGGAGGGAGAAGGGGGGGAGGAGTGGATGGAGGAGGCTGCCAGCTCTCCTCACCGCCCCCGCCGCCGCCGCCGCCGCTCGCCCCGACCCGCCGGGGTACCGAAGCGGCTGGCGCGGGCTGTGTAGTAGGTCGTGGTGTGAGTCTCATGAGGCGACGTTTTGCCCCCCCCCCCCCCCCACACTTATCGTCCTCCCCGCTCTTGGCCCGATCCCCGCCATGGTCGCTGCGTGTGCTGCTGACTGTCTAGGCTCTGGCTGCGACGGGAGGCGAGTTGAGAGGTGCGAGGCACGCTGTGAGGCATGGCTGTGTGAATGCGGTCTTGCAAAGCCAGGCGTGGGGTGGGTGCAGCGGGCGAAGCACCCCGAACCTGCACTCTGTGGCAGGCGGACCACCCTGTCCTAAAACTGCACTGGCAAGAAATAGCGTCCTCGCCTTTCCGGCGCTCCGCCCGCCAAAGCAAAGACATGCAACGCAGCGTGCGAAAGCCCAGCTGTCTGGCAGCAGCCCACTTGCAGCCATTGGTAGCCCCCTGGTCACCCTCCCCCCGCTTTTCCTGTCTGCCTGTCGCTTTCCCCCACCCTTTCCTGTCACCCTCCCCCCGCTCCCCCTCGCTTTCCCCCAATTTCTTCCCACGCTTTCCTGTCACTCTCCCCCGCTCTTCGCACCATACTTGAAGAACACCGCGGGCTGAACCGATTCACTGTCATCACATCAGCGCGATATAGCGGACGCTAATTTCAGGAATGCGCGGCCCAGGCGGCAAGAAATCCTCCAGCAGAGAATCCATTGCAAACGTGTTCGCCGGCCTCTACGAATAGCTTTACCACTCCACGCGCCAAGCCGCGCTGCCAGACCCGGCAGCCAACAGTGTTCCGCCATTCATTCTCCTAGTGCTCGACAGAGGGCTATCCGACCTCAGCGCGTAAAAGCACCCGGCACGAATGGAATCAGAGCAGAGATGTTAAACAATGTCCTTGTTGAGAGCAAGCAAGCAGTGCAGGCACTCTAGAACGCAATCTCTTACAAGCTGACTTGCCACCCCCACAAAGCTGGCGACACACCGTGATTCAAGTCATCCCGAAAGCAGGCGACCTCACACACCCCCAGAATTACAGACCAAGGCGTTGCACCAGCTTGCATCCACCTACTCCAACGACTATACCCAGGACTGACAGCAACGGTGCGGACAGACGTGACCAGCCGCCCATTCACTCCTCTAGGGGGTACAAAACAAGACGACCCCCTCAGTTCACTACTCTTTAATTCACTTCTCGAGTATATGATGCGTCCGCTCATCAACAGCTGGAAAGGACGGTAACAAGGGGCCCAGCTGGGCTTCACATGATATTGTAACCGTAGCCATTTTGGCTCAACCAATCCCTGGCTCAAGGCATCTCCTTTATTTTGAGGAGCCTTCTAGGAAAACCTTCGTCGCAGACGCTGCAGAAGCTCTTCCATCCATTTGGATTTTGCCTGGATGACATTCGCGTGGCTGCTTCTTCTGTTGCATTCGGGCGCCGCGGTGCCAGACGCAGCTGGGGGCGCGGCGTCTGTATCGCTGTGGGCTCTGGCCGACGATCGTTGGCAGTCGCAGGTGCCGATACTGCGATCGCACGTGCAGAAGGTCAACGTGGACTTCGTGATGGTCGGCTGTGGCCTCGCGTACCAGCTCGGAAGCCCGCACATGGTCGAGGCAACGGTGGATCACCGAAACGGCCAGGTCAAGTACTGCCGCGGCGCGGTGCGGGACGTAAGGTCCCTCGGTTTGACGCCGTGGCTGTGGCTGCACGGAGGCAGCTTCAACGCGTCGATGGACGCGTTCAGGGCCATGGCCACAGACTCCATGGACCTTCTGGTGAGTGCCACTGCAGAGGCTTGCAGCCTCTACGGCTTCGGTGGCATCAACATTGATTGGGAGCTGGGCCCCGCGGACAGGCGTCCAGCCGACCGCGAGCTCATGCTGCGCTTCATGCGAAGGGCGCGGGCTCCTCTCCAACGGCGTGGATGCTCCCTGAGCCTGTTCACCGGCGAGGGCGTCCACCAGCTGAACCGAGTGCAGGCCGACTACGTCCCGTACCTGACGGAGGTGCAGTCAGGGGATCTGTACCGAGGCACCGACATCAACGACTGGCGGGGGAAGCTGCGCAGCGCCTTGGACGTGGTGCCTCAGCACTTGCTTCGGCCTGGATTCTGCTGCAACGGCTGCAAGCAGGCCTGGTCGGCCACCAACGCCAGCGTCGTGGAGAGGCTCGCGGTCCTCGGCGCAGAGGCGCCCAACGTCACCAAGGTGGCCATCTGGGTGCTCGGGCCGCACGGGACGGGCGGGGAGGAGTGCCCCACGCCGTTCTACTGGCGGGAGCTGGCGCGCTTCGCGCCTCGCCCGGCCAGCGCTGCTCTGGCTTCTGCGCCCGGCGCTGCTGTGATCAGCATCTAGGTTTGGCGTCTGAGGTGCTGGCGGCGATGTCGCCCACATCATGTCGGAGTCTTCGACGCGACTCGGTCTCGGTTGACAGGATGATGTCAGGAGCACCCGCCGGGCCAAAAAAGCAAATCAGATATGACGTGCGTGAGTGGTGCAGGGAGGGGCGCGTGCGTAATTGCACCAGCGCGCGTAACCGTGCCAAATCAAAAACGAGCTCGCGATTGCTATGCAGTGTGCCGTGCGCGTTGGCTCTTATGGAAAGGCTTGAGCGAAAATGGTCACGGTTCCTGCGCGGGCGGGTGTTGGGGCCAACATGGCAACGACATTGTTGGTGCGGTTGCTTCGCCTTGTTGATTCTCGCGTTGAGTTCGCCCGAAGGCCAGTGCGGGGGCGGCGCAATGATAGTTGTTGTTCCCAATCCCAGTTATCGTCATCAACGACCATGTCTCGTGGCCATCATACATTACTTGTCTCTTGTCTGGTCGATGCAGCTTGCAGGCGTCGGTTGCGCAATACCGCCATCCGTGCCCCTCGCAAATTTGACGCTTATCGAAGCTCCCACCACGCAAGCTAAAACACGATGCTTATGGTAGCTGTCGGGGAACATGGGGAATCTGCACATCAAGTTACCACAGAGGGGGCAACCAGGGTGAAATCAAGATCTGGTAGCGATGGGGGGTGCTTTGAAGGGTCTGTTGCGGCCATTTCTCGTCCCGCGTGGGGGGCAAGAACGAGGATGAATACAGAGGGAGGGGGGCAAGAAAGACGAAGGAGGCAAGAGGATGAGGATGAGGATGAGGAGGAGGAGGAGGAGGAGGAGGAGGAGGAGGGAGAGGGAGGAGGGAGGAGGAGAGAGGGAGGAGGAGGAGGAGGAGGAGGAGGAGGAGGAGGAGGAGGAGGAGGAGGAGGAGAGAGGAGGAGGAGGAGGAGAGAGGAGGATGCAGAACGGTACGGCGGAGAAGGAGGGGGAGGAGAACGAGCATGATGACGAGGATTTCGAGGATGTTGCGTTCTGAGAGCCTCCAGGGGGAGTGACCATCTTGGGTCCTCTTGGGGCCATCTAGGGGTTCTCGCGTATTTCTCGTGGGGACACTTGGGGCCCTCCAGGAGCTCTGTTGGGTGGTCTTGGTGTCGTCGTCGGGATATGGGCGTGGGGGTCTTGGGCCGATGTTTGGTTCTGTGGCTCAAAGGGCGATGGGGGTTGTCTATTCTACTCTCCTCCCTGAGACCGCAAAGTAGCTTCTTGGGTATTTCTTGGATCACTCTTGGGGCGCTCTTGGGTGCTCTTGTGGCTGTTTGGGCCTTCTTGTGCCCCTGTTGGGGCTTTATTAGGCCATCATGGCGCCCTGAAAGCTCCTAGAGGGCCAAGATGGCTCCACGAAGGCCCAAGAGGGCCCCGAAAATCCCACACAAGTCCCAGGCTTGTGGTTTTCAGCGCCTGGGAATATTCTGGGATTTTCCGTGCCCTCTTGGGGCCTCTTCTTGGAGCCCTCAGAAAGCTCCAGGGAGCGTCCTAAGAAGAAGCCCGAATAAACCCCCTCGAGTGTCTGGGGTCACCCGAAAGGTTAGTCTCTGTAAACGGGGCTCCCAAACATCGTAGCACCAAAAAAATATTCAACCCCTACGGCGTGTTGCGGCCATCGTTTATCCGCATCAGATGCTCGGTGCGGGGATTTGGGTGTCCTGTTGCGCGCGTGTCTGGGGGTCTGTGGGGGCTAGCGGAACCAGACGGAGTTAGGGCTTCTCCTAAGATTAACGCAGCTTCCGCGGCCCAATGACTTTGCCAACTCCCTCATGACTTCGCGCTTCTCGGCAACGGACGGATGGACACTCAGGCGTGATATGGCTCGGCGGCAGAGGCCCTCAGAAGTCAAACATGGGAGCAACGACTGCCTGGTGATCGCACTCGGTAGCATAGCGTAGGAGTGAGGGGGTGTTCCGGCTGTGTGCGGCCTTTGGCAGACAAAGCAAATTTCCCCGACGGCGCTGCGCCCGCCAACGCAAGGACCTACGGTTCCCTTAGGCTGGAAGGCCCCGCATTGCCCCAACAGGGATCCCCTGCCACCTCCCACCTCCTCCCTGCCGCATTCCCTCCCTTCCTTTCCTCCTGAGACATTCCTGCCCCTCTGCTTTCTCCTTTCTCTCGTGCCCTATTGCGTTCCTCTTCGTCGGGCCCTCCCCGGTGCAACTCTTCACTGTGCCCTCTTGGGGCGTTCCCCAAGAGGGCACCAGGAGGGGGCCCCAAGGAAAGGCCCCCTGGGCCTCCTCCCAGGCGTCCTGGAGGCGCCCAGGAGGCTCCCAAGAAGGGCCCTGCGAGGGCCCATGGAGGGGCTCAAGAGGGCCCCCGGGAGCGGTGCGTACCTGCACACCGCTCTTTGGGGCCCTCCCGGGGCCATCTTGGACCCGCCCGTGGCCCTCCCGCGCCGCTGTGCTGGCGAGGCGCGCTTGTTGGAGCCCACGTTTGCTTGGCATCGCTCGGACGTGTGCATTTTTTCTCGGCGAGAACCATCGAGGACCATCCTGGACCATCGAGCAACAAAAACACGCACGAAATCGAAAAATGCACGAGAAATGGACGTCCGAGCGATGGCGAGTTTGTGTCTCGGAGATGGCTGCTGCACCCGAGGCTGGCGGCTCCCAGCCGTCGTTGGCCCAGAGCAGAGACAGAACGAGTTGCCATCGGCAGGATTCTTCACGAGGCGTTTGCTGCGTGGAGTGCTCGCTCTCGCACCTGCGCGGGCAGCTCCTTGTCCAGAGGTTGCGCCAGCTCCTCCGACCCACGTGGCCCCTGCGAAGGCCTCTGTGCCGTAGCCATGTTGGGCTCAATCGCCCACGTCGTAAATCGAGCGTCGGATTGCTCGTCGAAGCATCGCGGGCCGCGCGCGTGCGCGCCCCGCGTCACATTTGCAGGTGCGTCGGATGCTTTGCGCCCGCAGCTGAGTGCCGAGGCCTTGCGCGGTCGGAGCTGCTGGCCGAGCATTCGTGAACAGCGTTGCCAACAGCGCCAGACAGTTGGTGGCTGGTTTGTCGCAGTCGGACATCAACGTCGCGATTGCGTTGTTCGGCTGTGTCGTTTGTATGCGTCCTTGGTGTGCGCCGTCGCTCTCGCCCAGCCTGCCTGGCTCGAGAGACTCTGCGCAAACAGATTCCGAACGTATTTACCAGAAGCATTTCAGGAGGGAAAGGTACACACAGACACAATTAATCGTCGATTTCGATTCCCAGGAAAATATGGGAACATATCGGAAGTGGAGTGGGGGGGAAGACGAAACCCAGAACATATGGGAACATATGGGGAATCCTGTTATTTGTGCCTATTTATCTGTGTGTCTCAGGGCCCCTTCAAAATTCCCGGAGCAGGTGATCCTGATAAATGTTGACTTCCAGGCCACCTGAGGGCTCCCACCTGGAGGTCGATCGTGCTCCCAAGGGAGATAGTGGCGTCGCTTCCCCTGCAGCATCGTTGCTGAATGCGAAGGCATTCGCCGTAGGATAGGCTTCTGGGTGTATTTTCTCGGGACCGAGGTGGATTCTGCATTGCTGCACTCGCGCTCAGTAAAAAACGCAAATATTTGTCTTGCCGACGACGGTCTCTTGAGGAGCCGATCCCTTCCAAGCCTTGCGGCAATGCTCGAGGAAATGTTCGCAGCTGTACAACTGCACGATCTGCACATGCATCCAGACAAGACCACGTTTTTGACCAACCGGATTGAGCGCCCCAGGGGAGCACGATAATGCTGTCAAAATCAACTGCATGGATACCGATATTGTACCTCATCGTGACACTCTCAAGTTTGTTGGGCAGCGGATCGGATCCCAAGACGCCATGCCCACCGAGATGCAACACCGACTGAAATCAGGATGGGCCTGATTTACAACACACACACAGACTCGACCTCACAGGCAAGCACTACCCACTGGAACACCGACTCCAACTTTTCAATGGCACTGTCACGCCGACAGCACTTTACGGCGCAGCTGCATGGACCCAGACCGTGCTTCTGAGACTGCAGCAACACTGTACACGGCGCCAGATGTTACGAATGATTTTTGGTTCCACAATACGGCGCCGAGCTACCGACACGAACGATTGCAACAACACAGAGACCGACACGACCGATTATGGCAACAATCGCACAAACCAGGTGGTAGAATCCGAGCCTGGGGTGGAGTAGATCAAACGAACGACGCGATTGGCTGAGGTATTTATGCGCAACGCGAAGTTAACGACTGGGTCACGACACAAAGAACGATGGTGTGGAGATGCTCTGGCAGATTGGCGAAACACCCCGTTCAAGAATGGACACGGTGCTTCATCAAGTAGCACCCCTCCCCGCATGCCAATCTGAAGGGGCAGAGGAAACAAGGTGCACTGTTACAGGCGTGCACCGTCGACCAGCTCGCAAGAGTTAAGACGTCAACATTACCGATCGGTTGGTCCTTGCGATAATCGACGCTACTTTGGTGCAAATTAAAAAGTAGATCGCGAACGACGCCGCTAGTAGTGACTCCGAACGCATGCAGCACAGCCCTGGACACCGCGCGCCGACATGGACACCCAGCGCTTGAGAGCCTTTCGTTTCCTTTTTCTCCAACAGGATGAATTGACTTGACTTATCTTGCAATGCCAAGGAGTCATTGAGTGCTTGAAGCCACGGCCTTGCCCATCTGACCTGAGGCAGGCCTGGACATATGTTCGCAGCGGTGGTCTGTCTGTCTGTCTATCTGCCTGTCTGACTGTCTGTCTGTCTGTCTGTCGGTCTGTCTGTCCGTCTGTCCGTCCGTCTGTCTGTCTGTCTGTCTGTCTGTCTGTCTGTCTGTCTGTCTGTCTGTCTGTCTGCCTCTCCCCCCTCTCCCTCCCTCGCTCCCTGCCCTCCCTCCTCATCTTCTCCCCTCCCCTCCCAGACTTCCGATGTGCTGTTTTTTTCCAAGGCGGGCCCCCCCCGAAGTCCCGACCCTTTCCCCCTGGGCTGGTTCTCATCCCGAGTCTTTCTCAGACGGCCCCAGGGCACGGCGATGGCCACCCAACGACCGAGACCGGCCAAACGCCTCCCGCCGCGAATCTTCCGCGACGCGAGCATGCCTGGGCCCTCCCCTCCTCGTATATCCCCCCCTCCTCCTCCTCCTCCTCCTCCTCCTCCTCCTCCTCCTCCTCCTCCTCCTCCTCCTCCTCCTCCTCCTCCCGCCGGCTTCGGCTACGCGTTTGAGTGGTTCTTCGCCAGAATGGCCTCTGGTGCGGGCACACTGGGGCCCCCAGGATGGCTGGGGGCGATGCGCTGGCAGTGCCCTCCGCGCTCGGGTTTGGCTCGCCGGTGCCCCCCCCCCCCTCCCCGTTGCCTCGAAGACCGCGCACCAAAGGCCACTCCTGCCCAGGAGTCGGCGGTGCGCGCAAGGCCCCCTTCAAGGCGGTGGCGCCAGGGGGTGGAGGGGGCTTCTGAGAGGCCAGGGCGCTTCTAAGGAGGCAGGGGCGCTCTTGGAAGGCCCCCGGGGGCTTCTGGGAGGGCTTCTCAGAAGCCTCCGCAGGCGCTCCTGAGAAGCCCCCCTGGCCTCTTAGAAGCCCCCCCCTGGCATCTTAGAAGCCCTCCTCCTCTCCTCCTCTCCTCCTCCTCCTCCTCCTCCTCTTCCTCCTCCTCCTCCTCCTCCTCCTCCTCCCTCCTCCTCCTCCTCCTCTTCCTCCTCCTCCTCCTCCTCCTCCTCCTCCTCATGCTCGTCCTGCTCCTCCTCCTCCTCCTCCTCCTCCTGTCTGGTGCCTGCCGCTAGCAGGGGCACTCCTGCGCGAAGCCGCCGGCGCTCCTCGCCGCCCCCCGCCGCCGCTCGCCGCGGCCAGCCCTGACCCTTCGGCCGGGCCGCCGCCTCCTCGGCCAGGCCCGCGGCACGAGCTGCGTCGACGGCGATCCGATAGCGACGGTGCTGTCACGGCGACGGTGCTGTCTGATAGTGACGACGGCAGCGGCGGTGACGATGACGACGACGATGGCGACAGCTACGACGACGATGGCGATGGCGATGACGGCGACGAGGACGTCGACGACGACTGCGACGATGACGACGATGATGATGAATCTGATGATGTTGCTGATGATGATGCTGATTAAGATGATGATACTGATGAGGATGATGATGATGACGATGATGATGACTACGACGACTACGATGACGATAACGATGACGGTGACGATGACAACGATGACGACAACGACGACGACGATGATGCTGATGATGATGCTGATGATGATGATGCTGATGAGAATGCTGATGATGATGATGATGATGATGATGATGATGATGACGACGATGATACGGAGGAGTTAAGGAGGGATGAACATTGAGGGAGGAGGGGGGGGGGCGCCAGCTCTCCTCACTGCCTTTGCCGCCGCCGCTCGCCCAGGCCAGCCTTCTCCTCGGCGCCCCCCCCCCCCCTCTTCCAGGGCGGCTACACGAACTGCGTCAACGACGAGACTGGCATGTGGCAGGACCCCCGTCTGGGGCCAGACCCTCCTTGCTGGAGAGAGATCAAGGCTCACTGAGCGCGACCCACTACTCGCAAAGTGCTTACTCGCAAACGTCCGAGAAAAGACAACATGCTCGCCTCGATGGAATGGGTCGGGGATCCTCCTCGGCGGAGCCAGGCCATTTGCGAGCAGTTACTCCGCGAGTAGTGGAATGCGCTTGTCTAGAAAAATCAAGACCCACCGAGCGCGATCCACTACTCGCAAAGTGCTTACTCGCGAACGTCCAGGAAGCACATCGCTTCCTCGATGTAGTGGATCGTAGATGCCCCGCGGCGGATCCAGGCCATTTGCGAGTAGTTACTTTTGCGAGTGGTGGAACGCGCTCGTCTATTTGTGGAGAAAGTCAAGACGGAGGCTCTTCGCCGGGTTCCTTCAACGTCTCGAAAGGGGAAATGAGGACACGGGCTTTTCGCCCGTTTCCGGCCTCTGGGAGCCTTCGCTGGGTCCTCTTGGGCCGTCAGAAACTCAGATCAGGGCCACAAGCCGGCTCTGGGGAAGGGCTCGGGACTTTTGGGGACCCCGTTTTGACAGGATCAGGAAAGGCATCGGATGTCTGGAAAGCTGGTGGTCGGGGAAATCTGGTGGTCGGGAAGACCCATACGCCGCCGTGAAGAGCACTGCGCCCTGAGACACTGAAGAGGATGATGAGGAGGGGATGAGGTGGTGGAGAGGGAGGGGAGGAGGAGGAGGAGGAGGAGGAGGAGGAGGAGGAGGAGGAGGAGGAGGAGGAGGAGGAGGAGGAGGAGGAGGAGGAGGAGGAGGAGGAGGAGGAGGAGGAGGAGTCGCGAACGTCCAGGAAGCACATCGCTTCCTCGATGTAGTGGATCGTAGATGCCCCGCGGCGGATCCAGGCCATTTGCGAGTAGTTACTTTTGCGAGTGGTGGAACGCGCTCGTCTATTTGTGGAGAAAATCAAGACGGAGGCTCTTCGCCGATTTCCTTCAACGTCTCGAAAGGGGAAATGAGGACACGGGCTTTTCGCCCGTTTTCGGCCTCTGGGAGCCTTCGCTGGGTCCTCTTGGGCCGTCAGAAACTCAGATCAGGGCCACAAGCCGGCTCTGGGGAAGGGCTCGGGACTTTTGGGGACCCCGTTTTGACAGGATCAGGAAAGGCATCGGATGTCTGGAAAGCTGGTGGTCGGGGAAATCTGGTGGTCGGGAAGACCCATACGCCGCCGTGAAGAGCACTGCGCCCTGAGACACTGAAGAGGATGATGAGGAGGGGATGAGGTGGTGGAGAGGGAGGGGAGGAGGAGGAGGAGGAGGAGGAGGAGGATGAGGAGGAGGAGGAGGAGGAAGAGGAGGAGGAGGAGGAGGAGGAGGAGGAGGAAGAAGAAGAAGACGCATAATAAGAATAATAAGAAGAATAATAAGACGAAGAAGAAGAAGACGAATAAGAAGAATAATAAGAATAATAATAATAATACGAAGAAGAAAAAGAATACGAAGAAGAATAATAAGAAGAAGAATCAGAAGAGGACGAATAATAAGAATACTAATAATAATAATAAGAAGACGGATAATAATAAGAAGAATAAGAAGAATAATAATAATAATAAGAAGAATGATAATAATAATAATAAGAAGAAGAAGACGAATAAGAATAATAAGACGAAGACTACGAATAATAATAAGAAGAATAATCAGAAGAATAAGGAGAAGAATAATAAGAAGAATAATAAGAATAAGAAGAATAATCAGAAGAATAAGAAGAATAATAATAAGAATAAGAAACATACTACGAATAATAAGAAAAATAAGAAGAATAATAAGAATACTAAGAATAAGAAGAATAATAATAATACGAAGAAGAATAATAATAAGAAGAATAAGAAGAATAAGAAGAATAATAATAATAAGAATAATAAGAAGAGGAGGAGGAGGAGGAGGAGGAGGGGGAGGAGGAGGCGGGACGGAGGAGCGGAGGAGGAGGGAGGAGGAGGCGGAGGAGGATATGAGGAAGGAGGAGGAGGAGGAGGAGGAGGAGGAGGAGGAGGAGGGTGTTGGTGTGATGATGATGAGGAGGAGGAGAGAGGAGGAGGAGGCGGACAGAGGGAGGATGACGAAGACGGATGCGAGGAGGAGAAGAGGAGGGAAGGAGGGAGGAGGAGGGGGAGGGGGAGGAGGGAAGGAGGGGGGATGGGGGGAGGAGGGGGATGAGGAGGGAGGAGGGAGGAGGGAGGAGGGAGGAAGGAGGGAGGAGGAGGACGAGGAGGAGGAGGAGGGGAGGAGGATGAGTGAGGAGGAGGGAAGAGGAGGCGTGGAGGGAGGCGGAGGTACGAGGTGGAGGAGGAGGAGGAGGTGGAGGAGGAGGAGGAGGGAGGGATGATGAGGAGAGGATGTAGGAGGAGGGGGAGGCGGAGGGAGGTAGGAGGGAGGAGGACGGGAGGAGGATGGAAAGAGGGGAGGGAGGAGGAGGGAGGAGGAGGATGAGGTAGGATGAGGGAGGAGGAGGGAGGAGGGGGGAGGAGGGAGGAAGAAGGAGGAAGAGGAGGGAAGAGGAGGGAGGAGGAGGGAGGCGGAGGAATGAGGGAGGTGGAGACGTGGAGACGATCTCGAGCGGGACGGTGCCCGCTCGCTCGCCCGAGGGCGACGGGCCACCGACGGGAGGGACGTCCAACTCCAGTCAGCGGCTGGTGGGAGAGGCCCACCACCCCCACGGCCCCCACAGGGGCCCAACACGAGCCCCGAAGGGACCGACCAGGATCCCAGGAGGGGGCGACCACGAGCAGCCAGGAGGCCCCAGGACCCCCGTTGACTGAAGCAGACCCCCCCCCCGCGACCTCCTCAAAACTCGAACTCGGCCCCGTACATGTGCTTGAACCACACCTCGAGCCTGGAGCGGTCCATGCCCCTGAGGTCAAGCTCCGCCTGGAGGGCCGCGAAGTCATCCTCAGACATGGCCCGCAAGGCCTTCAGCACCAGGACCGGGTCCATTTCGCGCGGGTCCTTCTCGGAGGCGAGGGCCGCCCCAGCTGCAGCATCTGCAGGTTCACCAGGCAGTCCATCTCCTCCCTGAGCTTCCCCAGCTGCAGCGTCTGCAGGCTTACCAGAATGCTCAGTTCCCCCGTTCACGCACTCCTCCAGGTCCTTGTCCTCCTTCGGCTTTTTCTTCTTCTTCGACTTGTGCATCTTGGGCTCCCCGATGAAGAACTCCTGCACGCCACCTGCGTCCAGAACTTCACCTGGGCCCCCTTGAAGAACTTGATCGCCACCGATGAAGAACTCCTGCACGCCACCTGCGTCATGAGCTTCACCAGGGCCCCCTTGTAGATCTTGATCGCCACTGTCGAGCGCCTCAGGCCCGTCGACCGCCTCCAGCCCGACCAGCAGGTCGGCGTCCACGAAGACCTTGGAGCCCTCCACGCTCACCGGTCGTGGAACGCCGGGGGAGCAGACACCTCCTTGCCCTTCAGCCTGGCGATCCGCAGCCTGGCCTCGAAGAGGCTGCGCGCCAGACGCCTCTTCAGGTGCGTCTCCTTTTCCAGCTTGTCCACCTGCTTGTCCTTCACCTGCTTGTTGGGCCGGGATCGGCGCGGCCTCTTCCGAGGTGACGTGGCCGATGTCCTCAACGAGGTCCTGCACCACTGACTGTCGATGAGGATCCAACCCTCCGCCAGCCAGCGCCTCTTCTCCTTGGCCTTGTCCGAGGGCGCCTTCACGGGCGAGCGCACTCTGGCCGACAAGGCTCCCCTCATTGGAGATGTAGCCCACTGCGCCTGCAGGGGGTGACCCTTCTCTATCTTGCCGTAGCCCAGGCCCAGGTCCTCCAGTCGCTGTGGAAGTCCAGCCTGCGCCCTCTGTAGCTCTCGATCGCTGGCCGCCAGCGCTCTGAAATCCCCCGGCAGGGGACGAATGCTGGCCGCCTTCGAGGCTGCCATCGACGATCGCCACCTGCACCTGGTGCGGCTCGCCGAAGCCTCGGTTGAAGTCGGCCGAGAAGCGCCCGAGCTGGGCGCCAAGGAACTCGACCTCGCGCTTGTCCACGTACAGCTGCAGCACCAGCATGAGACCTAGCGCGCCATCCGGCTCGGGGCGACGCGCCCCTTTCAAGTACGTCGCCCCAATGGCCCCCCTTGGGCCAGAAAGGGGCTGAGGAATGAGGGAGGAGGATGATGATGATGAGGAGGAGGAGGAGGAGGAGGAGGAGGAGGAGGAGGATGGAGGAGGAGGAGGATGAGGCGGGAGGAGGGAGGAGGCAGGAGTTGGTGGCGGACCGAAGGAGGAGGAGGAGGGAGGAAGGAGGAGGGGGCGATAGGAAGGAGGAGGAGGAGGAAGAGGAGGAGGAGGAGGAGGAGGAGGAGGCCGAAGAGGGAGGCAGGGAGGGAGGAGGGGGAGGGGAAGGAGGAGGAGGGAGGAGGGAGGAGGGAGGAGGGATAGGAGGAGTGAGGGAGGGAGGGAGGAGAGTGAGGCGGGAGGAGGGAGGAGGGAGGAGGGATGGGGGAAAGAGGGAAGGAGGAGGGAGGAGGGAGGAGGGAGGAGGGGGAGGGGAGGATGAGGAGGGAGGGGAGAAGGGAGGAGGAGGGAGGAGGGAGGGAGGGGGGAGGGAGGGAGGGAGGAGGGAGGGAGGGAGGGAGGAGGAGGAGGAGGTATGAAGGAGGGGGCGGATGAGGATGAGGGATGCGGATGAGGAGAGGTATGTGTGAGGAGGAAGAGGAGGAGGAGGAGGAGGAGGAGGAGCACGAGGATGAGGAGGACGAGGAGGAGGAGGAGGAGGAGGAAGAGAATGAGGCGGAGGCGGAGGCGGATGAGGAGGAGGAGGAGGAAGAGGAGGAGGAAGAGGGAGGACGAAAAGGAGGAGGAGGAGGAGGACGATGAGGAGGACGAGGCGGAGGAGGAGGATGAAGAAGAGGCGGATGAGGAGGAGGAGGAGGCGGAGGAGGAGGAAGACGAAGAGCACTAAGATGGATACTAATAAAGAGGAAGACGAATACGACTACCACGGCGAAGCATACGAACACT